TCTGTCATCCCGTTGTTCTCTCTTCTGGCTTGTTTATTCCGCCTATCCCTTCCAGGTAGACATGCTAAGTACCATCACCAGACTGAGTGCAACGAGGCAACAACAGAAAGTAAAACAATGTCTGCAACAACAACACTACACACATATGCATACATATATAACCGTATGAATAGTTCAGGATCTGTTTGTTTTCTTTCACGTGTGCTTTCCAGTCAAGTCTGATGGGGTGCCATGCCCCGGCACCGTCTCTATCCCTGAGGACCTCACCACTCTGCTCCCTCCGCTGCTCTGATGCATGCCCCCAGGGGCTGGCCTTCGGAGTGGTGAGCTCATGGCGGGTGCAATTCCCGCAGTTTGTCTCCAGTGCTGTCCCCAGTTTCCATGAGCTTTTTGAAGTTCTCTGGTAAGGAGAACCCTTAACATCTGTAAGGTTGCCACACCTACAACTCACACCGCCACTGAATGTCACTCAGACGGATTTGCAGAGCGTTTTTACTGACTCAGGCAAAAGTTAGCACCCAGTCACTATTAGAATATGTTGGACCCAGACCAGACACTTAAAAAAGTTACGTTGTCCCGGAAAAGCAAGCACCTTTACCAACGTTGTTACTCACCTTGAAGAGTGAGCCTCAAGAAACTGACGGAAATGTTCAAACTCCAGCTTGTTGTTTAGCAGATCGTTAAAGTTAAAATGTCTGTATTCTTCAGGAACGCTATTCCAAAATTCTTTTTGCTTATATGTTTCAAGGGGCTGTAAAATACTACTTCCGATTTCTGGAGCAGGGACCTGGTGAGACAAAGCTTCTCATTAAGCCCTCTCAAATGCAACAACATCTTCCCATTGCTAAATAGTGACTGAATCGTAGGCCAAGGTCTTTTCTGAACTAGGTAAAGAATCTAGGTCCTTCGGGGTCTAATTAACAGCAAATGCTGTTCTGTTCCCGTCCATATGATCCTCTTATTTACAGGTACATTCAAAAAGCATCTATTAGACTGATATACAAAGTATTTTTACTATAGTAGGTTTATAAAATACCTTCTTTTCTTTTCTTTTTTTAATCTTTTATTGGGGGCTCATACAATTCTTATCACAATCTATACATCCATCCATTGTGTCAAGCACATTTGTACATTTGTTGCCCTCATCATTCTCAAAACATTTGCTTTCTGCTTGAGCCCTTGGTATCAACTCCTCATTTTTCCCATCCCTCCCCGCTCCCCGTCCCTCATGAACTCTTTATAATTTATAAATTATTAGTATTTTGTCATGTTTTACACTGTCTGATGTCTCCCTTCACCCACTTTTCTGTGTCCATCGCCCAGGGAGGAGGTTATATGTAGATCCTTGTAATCGGTTCCCCCTTTCTTAAATGCAATATTAGTGGTTTTTTAGTTTATAACAAAAGAGGGGAAGAAGGTAAAAATCATACACAGTACTACTACTCAGAGGTACCCGGCATTAGCATTTTGGCACATACCTTCCTAGTCTTTTTTGTAAGCATCCATGCACTTTATTAAAAATAAAGATAGGGGTAAAACATGTATGTATGGTTCTGTGACCTTTCACTTAACAATTTATCACAAATATAAAAGTCTTCTATCTATAACACAATTTTAAAGGTTATAGGGTGATAGAAAATCCTTTTCTAATCGTACATTCTTCAAAAGTAAGCTCTTTCGCATAAAAGCAAATATTTTGGTATTTTTAAGACCTCTGCTTCATTGGCACTTTACAAGCCTAAAGGGCAAAGTGCTAAATTCTTATTAAAGTGCTGCTTCTTTAAAAGGCCTTCCCCTTACATAATTCCTTATGTCCTTGATTAATTTCCAATTTTTTAAAGACCTCAGACCAGGAGATAAACTACCAATTTTTCAAGAAATCGATTTTCTTTAAGTAGAAGGATTATAGAGTATGCTATAAATTTTAGTTCATAAAGTTTATAATAGAACTTTATTATGTGCTTGCTACCTTTCTGAGTTTTTATGTTCCTTTTCCAAGATATTATTTGCATTTCGAATAGAGAACGTCTGTGTTGAGGCAGTTATTATGAAAGTTCCATTATAAATATGGACTTGCCCGTGTTTATGAAACTTAGAGGAACAAAAGTTTTGGGGTTTTTTTGTGAAGTACAAAAAAGAAAGCAAGAAAGCATCTGAAACTTTATCCCTCTCTTTAGCCTGTGGCAACCATTTTTTAGATATCTCCTATTGAATATATGTGTCTATTTAGAAACATATATACAATTGTACCCAAGTAGGATCATAGTCTACTGAGGTTTCTGTTCTCTATTGTTTTAGCTAATAATGCCTTGAGACATTGTCTATATCAGAAATATGAGCCCAAACGGTCCTTTTCAGAATACAGATGCATGCACTTCATTCTGTGCATCTGCTCTGGCTCAATTTGCCACTCGAAACGTTGCAAATTTAGAGATCCAAATAATACTTTAATGTCCTTGTCAAGCCTCAGATCTCCTGACTGCCCTCCTGCACTCCTCTCCACGTCCTCCCCTGTCCTGGTTCTGCCTATTCCTGTCACACGGAGACTCCCCTTCCTGCTTGTGAAACCCCACTGACTCTTCTGTGACCTGACAACAGAGAAAGAGCGGCTGCTAGTCGCACAGAAAACAGCCAATAGGGCTACAAGGGACACAACCTGGCTTGAAGGCTGGGGTTTCTGGTCCCAGGACAGATGCATGGCAGGCGTGGCTGCCTGCACTCGCCCAGTGACTTTGTTTTATTGGCTCTGAGAAAGGGGTCAGCAGAGCATGACCTCTGTGAAACTCAACAGGTCAGGCAAAGGGACAAGAGGACTCTGAGAACCTCTATCCCACAACGTTAGCAATACACGATCTCCGCCCCCACTAACGACAGCAGCAACGGTCCCCAGGATACGGCCACGTTCTTGGTTTTGTTTTGAGTTTTTCAAAGCAAGGAGTTGTCTTACCCCAGCTTTCTTGGAAAATGTCTCTTTATGCAGAGCCTGAAGCTTTCTGAAGTACGTGGAGTCCAGCTGCCGACTTTCTTCCACGAGCTCCACCTGATAACAATCACAACGATGCTGGTCACACCAAGAGAATGTGCATCATGAGAAAGCAAGGGGCAGAGGCACAACTTGCCAATAACTGTGGGCTCAAAAACAAATTCCCTGGCCAAGAAAGCAAATTATTTTGAAGGCCAAAGCAGGAATACCAGCATTGCTTGACATATTAGTCAGACCTGGACTGCGTGAAATAATAGGTTGTCTTTTTTGTTTTTAATCCATACATTTCTGTCATGGACAGTACCACCAAAGACCAGGCCTCTTCTCTGCAGGCCCCAGGTGCACTAACAGAGACACTACCGAGAGGTGAGTCACCTTTCCAATTCCTGTTCATGAGACCAGGAGACTAGTCCCCTGCTAGCTCTGGGGATCCCAGTCCGCAGGAGGACAGAGGTCCTGAGGAGGATTAGTCTGTGGGCAAAGACTTTCTTGCTATAGCAATCAAGTTGCTTATCAAACTAAGCCGCCTAGCAGCTCTCAGTCGTCGGGAAAACAAGTATTTTGCAGTGGGGACCATTTCTGTAATGCAGGGAAGACCCGGTTTGGCTGACTTGTGGCCTGAGAATGTTCTGTTATTTCATAGCTGGCTTTGGCAGTCACAGCTTGGTTATCTTGTTTGTCGACATAATTCAGCCAGTTTTCAAAAGTCCTCTGGGCTAACTCTAAGGAAATTTGCAGAACAAAAAAAGAGGCTTATTTTTCCTCTTATCATTAAAAAGCCTGCCTCATGCATTTTATAAGAATACTTTTGGTTTGGGGGAAATGAGTTATAATTCCAAGTCCTCCTTCCCCCCTTATTTTTAACCATCTCAGGACTACTTTCCTCAGTCCGATAAATTATATTTAAAATAAGAATGGGAAAATAGCTTTTTTTAAATTTCACATGGTATTCTAATTTGCCTAGGATCATAGTTTTGTAGTAGCAAAGATGAGTTAATAACTTTTCACAAGTGAAGGAAATTCAGGCGTGAAAATGCGTCATGTTTTGGTCTTTGAATGTGGTGAGCCACGTGGGAGCGTTCCGGTCACTATCCAAATACCCAATACAGTCAGCTCTATGCGAGGTGCTGGAGTGTCGTTTCATCAGAGTGACCTAGGCAGCCTTTCCCATGGAAGGCACGACTAGCCGAAGAGATAGAAACACAGACTAGCAGCCCAAAGGCAACAGAGTTCCACCTGAAAAGACATCATGTTCAGGGTGTGTGCATTCACTTAAAAAAAAAAAACAAACCATGGATGGTTTTAATTTGTGATCCAAAATAAATGAAGACATTTCCTCCACCCATCAATAAGAATAATGAAACTATCCAAGCACGGAGGCTGAACACGGTCTCTTCCAGAATGAAACAAGACGTGCTGCTGGAACGTCCACCCAGCCAAGTGCTCTGACCGGAGGAACATCTGGGCGAGTTTAGAACAGCGGCACTGGAGTCAGAGACTCTGCTTTGCACCATCTCTACGGAACGTTTATGTTTCCCGTGGGCGTGAGATCGACTAACTCATCCAACCCGAGGCGAAATGGGCTTTTTCAATTCATCAAAGTGAGGCCCCTGCTGAAAAAAATGGCAAGAAGGGACAAAGCCGGGATACTGTCAGGGCCTATTTTGCTGGTTCACAGGAAACCAGCACTCACATTTCCTTCTTTGGACACATTTGCGAAGAAAGGCAAGAATGACATAGAATTCGCTCTCTGGTTAGGATTCTACGGGGAAACTGGCAAATAAACAAATAAGTCGATAGGTTGAGCCCGGCCAAATCTTGACTCGGGACCTCTGGCCTATGTAAAGCCCTCGCAGTCTCTCCTGTGACCCAGCAATGAAGCTATTCCTCAACCCAGAGAGTATATCCCAAAGGGACCAGGGCCACAGTACCTTCTTGTAAGCTGTTTGGTCTGTTTTTACCATCTTTGCCCAGGGTTCGAGGAGGAGGAGGAGGATATATTCCTCAGCGGTGTCAAACAGGTCTTCAAACGGTGGCTGTATTTTCATATAAATGTCTTTTTTCATTTCCTGATGGAGTGCGATGTCCAGAGTGGCCGAAGGAGCGATGTATGTGGCAAAAAGGTACTAAAGGGGGAAGGAGGTGGTTTGGGGAGGTACAGTAATGGTTAGCAGATTTCTTAAAGGCATTACGTTTTTAAAAGTCAGAGCAGAGACACACTCAAGTGATCTTTTTCTTGAAAAGATGTACAAAACTACACTTCTTAAAGTACAGGAGAAATGGGATTCAGAGTTAATGAAATTTCCCACAACTTTGGAAGCCCCATTGTATTTGAGACAACCCGAAAGCCCACTGCCACTGAGTGGATTCCAGCTCATCGGGACCCTAAATTTCTGGGGGTTGCGAATCTTCATGGGAGCAGACTGCCTCAGAGCTGGTGTGTTTAAACTGCTGACTTCGCAGTTAGCAGCCCCAGGCTTACCAACAGCACCAGCAGTGCTCCCGAACTTGAGACAAAGCCATGCGTTTTTTCCAAAGGCTTGGTGTTTCCTTTGCTCTTATTTCTTCCCCTCAGTCAGTTGGCCAAGGCTCTGGCGTGTCAAGGAATGATGAAAAAGAGGATACAGAGTAGACAGAAACCATGGGATGAGACATGGGGCCCTCAAGGGGCATTGGCCCTCTGCAGAGATTCTAGGTTCGCAGCGGAGAACCCTGGTTCTAGGGCAATTGGCGTGTGGGGGTCGAGGCGGAGTAAGAGAAGCTCCAAAGGGAGGCGAAGGCCAGAGCTGGAGATGTTTCCCTGTGAAATTTTAATTTTGACCTAACTATATATAACGGGCACTCTCTGAAAGGTTGTAGCTGAAGCGTGGTGTCATTGGATAAACATTTTAGAAATAAATACCTAAGGCCTCAGAAGGGAGAGAAGATTTGAGTAGATCAAAATTTCAGGCCCCCAAAGAACAAAAAATCAAATCATTGTGAATGAGGGGGAGAGCAGATTGTGGACCCAAGACCCATCTGTAGGCAACTGGACACCCCCTTAAGAAGGATCGCGGGGAGGAGATGAGCCAGTCAGGGTGCAGTGTAGCAACGATGAAACATACAACTTTCCTCTAGTTCTTAAATGCTTCCCCCCCCCTCCTGTCATGATCCCAATTCTACCTTACAAATCTGGCTAGACCAGAGGATGTACACTGGTACAGATAGGAACTGGAAACACAGGGAATCCAGGACAGATGATCCCTTCAGGACCAGTTGTGAGAGTGGTGATACCAGGAGAATGGAGGGAAGGTGAGGTGGAAAGGGGAAACTGATTACGGGGATCTACATAAAACCTCCTCCCTGGGGGCTGGACAACAGAAAAGTGAGTGAAGGGAGACGTCAGACAGTGTAAGATATGACAAAATAATAATTTATAAATTATCAAGGGTTCATGAGAGAGGTGGGAGTGGGGAGGGAGGGGAAAAAATGAGGAGCCGATACCCAGGGCTCAAGCAGAGAGCAAATGTTTTGAGAATGATGATGGAAACAAATGTGCTTGACACAATGGATGGATGGATGGATTGTTGTATGAGCCCTTGTTGTTGTAAGAGTTGTATGAGCCCCCAATAAAATGATTTTAAAAAAACCCAGCAACAACAACAAAAAACCAAAAATTTCAGGCCCATTGGAAGTTCTTTCAAGTGGAGGGAGGAAATTATACGCCACCTTCATGTCCTGCAGGAGCTCTTTGGGTGTCACGGGTTTCAAATTGGGCTGCCAGCTGAAGGGTCAGCAGAAAGCTCAGGCAATCCATATCCTCCCATGGGCACCCTCAGGAACCCCAGGAAGTAGTTCTACTTTGTCCTCTGGGGTCGCTCTAAGTCAGAATGGCCTCCGAGGCCTGCTGGTTTGGCTTCACCCAGTTTTTCCAATAGCAGCCTCACTGCTCTGCCAAGTTTCTTCTTTGCCTCTTTACAGTCTGTTCTTAACCTGGCAGATAGCTCAATCCTTTTCACACCGTGCCTCAGCTTGAATGCTCCCATGACTTCTCATCTCACGCACCATAAAGGCCAAAATCCTTCTCTTTCTGTACCTATGAGTGAAGCTTTCAGAAAGGTCACAGTGCCAAGGAGACAAAGCCTGGAGTTCAAGACCTGCCGGTGAGGAAGCCACTGTAGACACCAGAGGCTCTCAAAATGCCCTAAGACCAACAGTGGACCAGGAGCAGACTACTCAGTCTTGAGTCTTTAGAATGCCAAAGTTAAATAACTGCCCATAAAAATACCCTTCCAAAAGGAAGACAAAATAAAAGTGTCATCAATCAAACTCACAAAAACAGAGGCACCATCACCAGCATCATTGCATTAAATGGTGCAACATTGCATTAAATGGTATAACATTGCATTAAATGGTGGCCCAGACACAAAGAAAATGACCTCTAACCAAAAAGCAGGTGGGATAAATATCAAGGAGTGTTGATTTGATGATGTAAGCGCAGTGTACTCATTACTGTTGAGTTGGTTCTGATTCATAGTGACTCCATAGAACACACTAGAACTCTCATATAGGATTTTCCAGGTTGTAAATCTTTCTTTTAACTTTTATTGTGGTTTAGGTGAAAGTTTACACAGCCGATCATCAGTTTTCCATTCAACAATTCATACACGTTTTGTTTCAACTCATGTAATTATCATTGTCGCCCTCCCTGCCTGTGTGTTCTGTTTCCATTCCTCCTCCTTTCCTAACCCTTTGAACTTGGTTCTTGGGTAAGTGCTGCCCTTGTCATCTTAAATGGCTGCGTACACTCAGTTCAGTCCCAGACACAAGGGGAAACTAAGGGTTCCACCAGTCTCTCGCTGACCAGTAAATCGGAGCTCTTACATGACTTTGCAGTCTGCTCATAGCTTTGCCCACTTTATCAGGGACCTTCTAACATAATCCTTTTCATAGCAGCTGGTAGCAGTTGCCAGGCACCACCTAGTTATTGCTGGTTATAAGGTTGTGGAGATAGATAGTTGGGTGGTCTATTACTCTCATGGACTACTGGTTTCCATGTATTTTTCTATTTTCATCACCGACAGATAGCTGCCAGGCTGTAAATCTTTAAGCAAACAGACTGATACAGCCTTCTTCCAGTGTGGCTGGTAGGTTTGAACTGCTAACTTCTTTAATAACAGCTGGGGGTTTTAAGCACTATGCAACCAGGGCCCCTCCTGATCAAGCTGGATGAAATAATTTTTAAGAAGGACTAAGAAATCGACATCACAGACATATAAGATGAACCAAGGTAGAGGGTTAAAAACTAAGTTGAAAAACAGAGGCAGTAATAGATGGATTAAAAGAACGAACAAAATAGAAGATGCAATTATGATGACATTTTCATGTGAAAAAAAGAATAATAGAAGGTACTGATTAAAGTACAATTTAAATGATCAGAAATGAAGTCCATTATCAGTAAAACAGCAAATGATCTCAGAACTGAGGTGATAATACAATGCACAGAGTAGATTATCAAAAAACTAGAGTTTAGTGTAAGTTGAAAAAAGTTGAGAAGTTAAAAGAGAGTACTATAAAGTTTGACACCTAATAAGTAGGCACTTGATACTTGTTTGCTGAATAGATGAATGGGACATTTGTGGCAAAGGGAATTTGTGAAGTGAAAGGGGAATTTCCAAGTTCATATTATGATGGATTCCAACAAAGGACCACATGCCTGCCTGCAGTTCACTAGAGAAAAACGGAGATAAGACACCAAAGTTGAGTCAATTAAGATATAGTGTACGAGGGGATGCCCCAAAACACTGGGGGGAATCTCCGCTGGGTGAAGCTTTTATACTACGCATTTTTCCCACTAGGCGAGAACTCACTCTGAGTTAGTGCACCCAGAGGCATCACCCGGGAAGGTTCTCTCTGGTCACAGTGAATTTTTTCATGAAAGCAGTTTCACTTGAAACTCGTTTTTGTGATGGCCTATTTAAGAGAACAGCTTGTGGATCTAAAATTTTTGTTTCCTGCTTGGGAAAAATGCCACAGAAACTGTGGTTATGTTGAACATATGAGGGCAGTGCTACGTGAAAAAGTCACGTGTATGAGTGGTTTTTCTCGTTTCAAAAAAGGTGAAATGTCCATTGATGACAAACCTCATTCTGGATGTCCGTCAACTTCCCAAACAGATGAAAATGTTGACTTGTAGTATATTTGGAATTCATTCCACCAGGTCAGACTGTTTATCATGCTTTCTTTTGGGGGTTCTGAAAAGACTGTTTACCAGTGTGCGACAAAAGAGGCCTGATTTGTGGCAGACGGGGGACTGGTTTTACCACCATGACAATGTACCTGCTCATGTAGCCATCTCAGTGCTCCAGTTTTTGGCAAAAAAAACCCCAGCAATGCCTCTCTTGCCCGATGTACCATACTCACTTGACCTTGCTCAGTGCAACTTCTTTTTGTTTCCGTGAATGCAGAGGGACATGAAAGGACAGTGATTTGACAACATAGACGAGGTGAAGTAAAAAAGGAGGGAGGTGCTGTCAGTCATCCAAACAGATGAGTTTTAAAAATGTTTCCAAGAATAGAATCGCAGATTTGGCAAATGTATTAAGTGTAATGGGCAGTACTTTGAAGGTGATAAGGTTGTTTTGTAAAAACAATTTTTTTGTAAAACAAAATTTAAATATGTAGCTTTGGGGGAAAAAATCTGGGTTTTTTTTTCGGGGGGGGTACCCCCTCGTATGTAGCATGCTATAAGAGTCACAGGGTAGGTGCTGAAAAGTTTCAAAACACGGAAAGATAAGGGAAGGAAGTGCCATGAGTTGTGTATGTCTAGTTAAATGTCTAGGTGAATGTGGATTACAGCTCAATGCAAAGAAAACCAAAATCCGTACACCTGGACCAATAGCTAGCATCATGATTAACAGGAAAAATTGAAGTTGTCAAGGGTTTGGCCTTGCTTGGATCACAGTCAATGCTCATGGAAGGAGCAGTCAAGAGATCAAAAGACCATTGCATCGGGTAAATCTGCTGCACAACATTTCTTTAAGGTGCTGACTTTGAGGACTAAGATGTGCCTTGATGCAAGCCATAATATTTTCTATCTTTTCATATGCATGAGCAAGTTGGACACCGAATAAGGAAGACTGGAAGA